GGATAGAAGGAGAATTGATGCCTTTGAGCTGTGGTGCTGGAGAAGAGTGTTGAATGTACCACGGACTGCCAAGAAAACAAACAGATTCATCGTAGAGAGGATTAAACCAGGCTGCTCCTTGGAGGCAAGGATTCTGGGGCTTCGCCTGAGATACTTTGGACATGTTGTAAGGAGAGACAGGTCCTTGGAGAAGGACACCATGCTGGGTAGAGTAGAGGGACAGCGCAGGAGGGGAAGACCCTCTAGGAGGTGGATTGATTCAGGGACTGGGGTACTCGGGATGGGTGTGTTGGGGGCAATGAGATTGGCACAGGATAGAGCACGGTTTAGGGTTGTTGTACGTAGGGTTGCTATGAGTCGCAAACGACTCGACGGCACATAACAACAACAACCACCACCTTTCAGACAGCAGCTAAGCCCTTAACCTTCCGCACAACTAGGGCTCTTTGCAGTATGTTATAAAAAATACATAAAACTCATCAAATCATTAAAGGTAGAATAAAACTTAAGTTTTGAGCAAATGGAACTCCCACAAATTTCTGGTAGAATTATGAAACAACACTATTCCAGTTACTCTGGATAAAGGGTAGTTTCTTAAGAAATTAAACATAAAAAACTGTCATAAGACTCAACCATTAGTTCAAGGTGTTTATCAAGAGAAACAAAATATATCTACATAAAGACTTGTACAGAAATTAGAAATGCTGCTTCACTTGTAAAAATAAAAATTGGAAATTCAAATATCCATCAATAGGTAAACTTATAAACTGTGTATAAAAAAATACTAATCTGTAAGTACTTCATGAAAGGAATTACTGATACATACAACCGCATATGAATCTCAAAATTATGCTGAGTAAAAGAAGGAAAAAAAAGATACTGTATGTTTCTATTTACACAAAATAGAAAATGTCAAAGAGTCTAGATGCCTAGAGTAGGGAAGGGGGGAATAATAGGCAAATTACAAATAAGTATTAAGTAGTTTTTCAGGATGATGGAAATTCTCATTATCTTGACTCCTTATGTGCATACAAATGTCAAAACTGATCAGACTCTGCACTTTATACATGTGTAGTTTGTTGTACTTTAATAATATCTCAATCGTTTTCAAAAAATATAACTTTGGGGAAATGTTGACAAAATTATTAATAGTGGAGTATCAAGAAGGCTATGAGATTGTTGTTGTTGTTGTTGTGTGCCATCAAATTGGCTGTGGCTCACAGCAACCCTATAAATCACAGATGTGAACTCTGCTCCATCTTGTGCCATCCTAATCACTTCCAATATACTTGAGCCCAATGTTACAGTCAGCATGTCAATCCATCTTGTTGAGTTCTTTTCTCTTAATGCTCTCTAACTTTCCAAGCTAAATGTCTTTCTCCAAGGACTGGTCCCTCCTAAATAACATGTCCAAAGTATGTGAGACAAAGTTTCACCATCCTTGCCTTCAAGGAGAACTCTGGTTGCACATTCTCCAAGAGAGAGTTTGTTCTTTTAGCAGTTCATAAGATATTTAGTACTGCACTCCAACACAAAATAACTCAAAGATACTGATTCTTTTTATATATATGTATATAATTCTTCTGTCATCCTTAGTCACTGCCTAGCAAGTAAGAGGAGACCATAGATGGATCAGACCACCGTAGTCTTAAACTGACATCACTGCTCTTGATATACTTTCTAAGGCTGTAATTTTTATGGAAGCATATAGTCACATCTTTATATCATGGAGTGAGAAGTAGCTTAGGAGCTCAAGTATTTCATCGTGGTTAAACTGAACCTTAACTAGCACTGTGTCACCAGGATTCCTGATGAACCCATATTGATATATTATTATTAACTAAAGTCCACAGTTACACTTTCTTTCATACATGAATCTCTTAAATTAGAAGTCCAAGATGAGTCTACAAATCCATTCAAGTGCAAATCTCCTCAGAGTACTGGGTAGGACTTAATCTTTCCTTGAGACTAAGCTTGAGCAACCACTATCAAATTCTACTTTGACAAAGCTTATTTTCAGGGAAAATCTTTAAATCTTCCTTTTTAATACTTCCAATCAAGTACTGGCCAAAAGTGGAATTACACTTTTTCTAAATCTATCCAGTATTCATTTATATGGTACTTCTTCCTCCCCCACTTCATTCTGACTGCTGCTACAATGGGTGTAGATTGTGGATCAAAGTATAATGACACACGTGTCAAGTTCAATCTTTTCTTGATCTATTATGATAGTGCTTACTGGCCCAGTTTTGAGCATTTTTGTAAATGTATACTGTTGTTGTTGTTAGGTGCCACTGAGCTAAGAGTCCTTGATCCAGTCTTTGTTTTATCTTGAGCCATCCTCCCCATCTCGGATATGTTCAAGCCCATCTTTACAGTCAATCCATCTTGTTGAGGGTCTTCCTCTCTTTCTATGATCTCCTACCATTCCCAGAATGTCTTTTCCAAGGAGTGGCTCCTCCTGACAGCATGCCCAGAGTATGCTGTCATTTGTAAATGTACAATTGTATACAAACGTAAATGTATAATGATCTATTACAGTATCATAATGAATAGTTTCACTGTTCTCAAAATGTCCTGTGTTCTATCTCTTTACTCTCTGTCCTGAGCCTCAGTAATTATTGATCTTTTTAAAGTTTTCAATGACTATATTTTAACTCAACCCACAATCAAATCTAATGGAATCAAGACATCAAACAATATACTGCACAGGGCAAATTTGCTGCTAAGGACCTCTTTAAAGTGGTAAAGAGCAAGGATGTCACTTTAAAGACTTAAGTATGTTTGATCTAAGCCATGGTACTTTCAATTGCTTCATATGCATATAAAAGCTTAACAATAATGAATAAGGTAGATGGAAGCAGTATTGATGCCTTTGAATTGTGGTGTTGTAAAGAATACTGGCTATACTATGGACTGCCAAAATATCCCAACAAATCGATCTTGGGAGAAATACAGCCAGTGTTCCTTAGCAGCAGGATGGTTCTTTGGTATTTTATCAGGAGAGGACATCACGTTGGAAAAGCTGAAGGATAATGGGGGAAAAAAGGAAACCTTCAATGTGATGGACTGACACAGTGACTGACTTCCAGGGGAGATGGTGAGAACGGTGGTTTGTTCTGTTACTCACAAGTTCTCTGTGAGTCAGAATCAACTTGACCACAACCAATGAAAACACCACCACAATGCTGCCTTTCCTAGAATGTCATATAACTGGAATCACATAGTATGTAGCTTTTTTAGACGTTCATTTAGAAATATGTACTTAAGGTTTCTCCATGGCTTGTTTCTGTAGTGTCACTACATACAGCTCATTGTAAACAATATTTCATTGTATGACTGTCATTAGTTTGTTTATCCACTCATCTATTCAAAGATCTTGGTGCCTTCCAGATTAGGCAATTATGAATAAAGCTGTTTTAAATATTCAATGTAAGTATTTATGTGAACACAGATTTTTATCAACCCCCATTACAGAGATGACATAACTTTGCTTGCTGAAAGTGAAATGGCTTAAAGGACTTACTGCAAAAGATCAAAGACTATAGCCTTTAATATGGGTTACACCAAATCTTCACCACTGAGCCAACAGGCAACATCATGACAGATGGAGAAAAGATTGAAGTTGTCCATGATTTCACTTTACTTGGATTCATAATCAACATCTATGGTAGTAATAGTCAAGCAATAAAGATGTTTACATTAGGGAAATCTGCTGCCAAGGACTCCCAAAGTGCTCAAGAGCAAGGATGTCAGTTTAAAGACTTACATGTACCTGATTCAAGCCATTTTCTATTACTTTCTATATATCTGAAAATTGGACAATGACTAAAAAAGAGTAACTAATAGTCAGTGCCTTTGAGTTGTGGTGCTGCAGAAGAATACTGAATATCCCTTGGACTGCCAAAAGAATAAACAAATCTGTATTGGAGGAAGTACAACCAGAGTGTTCCTTACAGCCAAGGATGGTGAAACTATGACTCACTTATCCTGGATATATTCTCAGGAGCAACCAGTGCTTGGATGGAGACATCATGCTGGGAAAGGTAGAGGTTAGAGAAGGAGAAGACGACTCACAACACAGTGACTACTACAATGGGCTCAAGCACAACTGAGATCATGAGAATGCAGGTTAGGACACAGTTTAGATGTGCTGTTCATAGATGTTCTCTGTGAGTCAGAGATGACTCCATGGCACCTAACAACAATAACACAGGTATCATCTCATTTGAGTAAATATCTCAAAGTCCAAATGCTGGATTGTATGGTAAGCCCCTGTTTATCTTTGTAAGAAAAGTCAGAATGTCTTCTAGTTAAACCAGTTTACATTCTTACCAGGAATGAATGAGGGTTCTTGTGGCTACACATCCTATGATTTCCATCTTTTTTTATTTTCCTTAAATTTTATTTGTCATTGTTGAGAATATATTTAGCAAGACATCTCTCTATTCACTAGTTTACACAAGTACTGTTTAGTGACAATGGTTACATTCTTTTTAAGTTCTGCAACCTTGCTTACATTCCTATTCTGAATTCTTCTTCCATCATTAATACAAATGCACTTTCCCTAAGCTTCCTTATCTAATCTTTCAACTTGTTGATGTCTATTTGATCCCCTATAGATTGTTCTTAAAAGAGTATAATGCTTCTTTTAGTAAGCAAGTCAAACGTTTACTTTTTAGAAGACTTCAGGGGATATTTTGGTTTTAGGTTTAATGGTTTCAGAGCAACAGTTTCAAGGGTTCACCCACCCTTCATGGCTCCAGACTATGGTAAACAGAATCAGAAATTTTGTTCTGCATTCCCTCCACCTCCTCCACACCCCTGTTGTTGACTAGAATTCTTCCATGAGATCTTTGATCAAAACATTGAGTCATGGTAGCTGGGTACCATGTCCTTCCACTTTCAAGATAAAGGTGGCACCGCAGACAATCAGTGACACATACTATATGCTCCATTCTCTTCATGGCTCTCTTCATTTCCAGAGAACAGAAATCAACTGTGGGATCCTGGAGGCCTGCTTGTAAACTTTTAACACCCCAGGCATTACACAATGAACTAGGAGGTAAAAAAGAAGCACCAAACACATTAACTCGGATGTTCTATGAAACCATGACCTGAAACCTCCAAAGCAAGGAACCAAATACCATGAGTCATCTGGAGATGTGTAATAATTTAGATGAAAAAAGTCAAGTAAAAGATGATTCTTGCTCTTAGTGACAACAGTGTCATACTCATATAAGATGACAAAGGCTCTGTAACTGTCAGCATAATAAATAATTTCATATTAAAATATATAGCTGCATGCTAATTAGTAAAGAATGAAGCATAGAACTTAACACAAATTTATCATCAACCAAAGTAACAATACAACTAACATTTACTGAGTGGCTACCACTTATTGGGACTGCTATGAGTTAGCTGGAGTTCACTCAAGAACAACTAGTTTGGGTTTTGGTTTGGCTATTGTTCAGATAGGAAAATCAAAGCACAAAGAGGCTGGGTCATCAGGGCAAGGTAACACCACTGAAAAGTACCAAACCCACTACTCTAGCTCCAAAGTTAACAATACTTGACCATTCCAGAAAATGAGAAAGAAGCCTCAAAAGTATTTCAACACTACCAGACTGCAGTGCACTTTTTATTTTCCAGAAATAAAACATATCATGCCTACTTAGTCCCATGGCAACATCATAATATCTCCAAAAGGTTTTTAATGTGTAGCAAACAAGGTAATAATTTCAAGATGTTTCAGCCAAGGAGACAAAGGAAGGATTTTCTATCCAAAGAACTGCTTTACTCTCTTGCATGGAGTAGTTTTTGAAACCCAAAATCTTGGGTTGTTTTCTCTTAATTCTATTTTCTCTCCTATAATTGGACACCGGAAATATTGGTTTAAAGGGAAAGAAGAGGTGATAAAAACTATATAGAAACGTTGCCTTATATAAAATAGCAATCTCCCTCCCTCCCTCCCTCAAAACAGAGAAAACAGCAAGGGAGACTTCTGAAAAGCTTCACCTCTCAAAGGCCAAAATTCTCCTACCTTCTCAGTGGAAAGGTTGGTCTCAGTGTCCTGTTTCTTCTGGGTAAAAACAATGGTGAACACAGCGTGGGAACGGCTACTTGTTTCATTCATGTTGGTGGCTGCCACTGTCCTAAACAAACATAAAGATGACCTTGTAACAATGGAATTCTTAGACTGAAGTTAAACCGGACCAAGGGCTCAGCATTACAAGCATAAAAATCATAAGAAAATTGATTCAAAGATGGCAAGATTGCCACTCACCTGATTTCTCTTAATACTACCTTATCTGTAATCTTATTAAGTTCTCCAATTCCAAAGGCATCCCATCCAAATTACATTTTATACTACAGCCATCCTTTTGTTTTTGTTAAGTACTATACAGTCGACTACGTCTCTTACATGCCCTATGAACAGCAGATCAGAACCTTATCTTGTCCTGCACTATCCTCAAAGTGTTCACCATGTTCAAGCCTATACTTTGGGCATGCTGTCAGGAGGGGCCAGTCCATGAATAAAAGACCTCATGCTGGGAAAGGCAGAATCAGTGAAATAAGAGAAGAATCTTAATTAGATGGACAGACTAGTGGCTCAACAATGGGCTTGAACTAGGCCTTAAGAAACCACCAAAGCATTTACTTTTGATCCTTTATTAGGCTTTCATTTATTCTAGAATGAATTCCGTAACAGGCATACAGACATAATGGCTAAACATTTAATCCTGACTTGATAAAAATCTAACAATGAAATATAACCAAAATTCTAATGTAACTCCACAATCAGAATAACTACGACAGCAATAAATGTGGCCTCAAGCTCCTAACAGGAAACAAAAGGCCTCAAATTATGCCCCAAACCTGTTTTAGGTCTCTTTTCCACCATACCTGGCTTTGTTCCCAGCGTCCATGAGGTCAGCAATGTCTGTGTAGGAAGTGACCGCCAGTTTTGACAGATCTTCCACATATGGTCCAAGAAGTGGATGTTCACGTACACGCAAATTGCCCTTGTTTTTTGGATTCAGCAAATCTCGGACTCTCTCACAGTAAATTTCCATATAACTTACCTAGGAGCAAATTATTCTAGAATCAAAGGTCTTGGATAAGGAGAACCCATTCACAAAAAAAAAGTCAGTCACAAGAGTATAAACATAAGACCTCTGTTACAAAAAGCTAAGGAAAAGTTTATACAGTGATAGATCATTTTTGGATGATTATCAGGCTATAGGGAAGTAGGGAGTCAAAATTAGTAAACAGGTTATAAATACGTATTAAGATGAGTGGAGGGAAAGGTAATATTCCACAAGGAGATGATCATCAAAATATCACCAAAAAAGAGATGACACAGAGAGAAGGATTAATGGGAATCAGAATTACTGGGAGGAAGTGGAAAAGTACAATTATAATGTAGGTACTGAAATTACTATTACTGAATAAAATGTGTATGAATGGTTGGATGAAAAAATAATTTGCTTCGTAAAACTCTACTCAAATGGTATTTTTTTTTAATGTGCATACGAACCATTCTTCAAGGGAGACCATTACTAATTGTTGTTGTTGTTATGTGCCATCGAGTCGTTAATAGCACAAAATAAATATCAATCATTTTAAAAGTACTGATAATTTTTTTTTAAAAGGGAAACTTCTTTAAAAGCTTTACAGTTAGAGACTAGGAACCTGTATCCCATGAAATATCACACTCCCAGCCACTTTTACTTTATTAACATGCACAGATACCACATGGCCTGGGCTACAGTCAACCTTCTGACTCAATATTCTGACTCTCTTAGGGATGGAAAGGAGATTATCAGCCCACTGGCATAAAAGGATCCTACTGCCTTGGGCAGAAAAATACCATTTTTTTGTAACAACAACTTATCAGTATAATGTCTGTGAAAACGCTGGGGATTACTGAATAAGGTTTCTGCAAGAACTTGGAAAGAAGGCTTCTATCAGGGTAAAACAAAGAACATCAACATTCTAAAGCAGGGAAGACCAAAGAAATCAGTGACTAACGCTTTAAGAATGACTACAATATGTGACCAAAGTCTCCACTAAAAAAGGATGAAAGCTGATCAGCACTAAAGGGGATTTTGGCTAGACCAACCCAAGCCTTGAGGAGGAGAGGACCTCGCAAGTAATAAATTTTAGAAATTCTTATCCACTGACGGATCATTGCTATCATAAACACATCAGACTATCTTTTCTAACCTGAGGAAATCAAACATTTATTTTATCTATTCAACTCCCTTCTCTCTAATACCATGCTCACCAAATGCTACAGGGTTCCATGACAGACCAGCTTGCAAGAAGAGATGACACGAGTTTGTTAATGTGAGTGCAATAGTTCTTCCTTGTGAAAAACAAATGAAACAATAGTCAGCTTTCATCACATAAGTGAACCAAGAGACTGACTTTGAAGGATGGTTCTATTTTCAATGTAGCCATAATATTAGATATTAAGCAAGAATGGCTGTGAACTAATGCAGACTTAGCCCATGTCATTCTGTACCACTAAATTCTTCAAACCTACAGCATCATTTCTATTTTTCCATTTTCCATTTCCATAAAGGTGATCTGAAATGGAATCCTTTTCCCTCTTTTCCACTCAAGTCCTGACCTGATTATCTGCTGAACTTGTGTTTTGAAGGTATACTTCAAAATCAGTTTAAAATAACCCTCAAACAATAAACTATCAAGAACCATGAAAGACTCATTGCGAGACTAAAACAAGGGGGGAAAAAATTCTTAAAAAGTCTTTCCAGTAACAAGGTATCCTAAAAACTGAGATTTTACTCCAATAGAAGTATATCTAAACTTGGACATACAATCCTATACCCTAGGTCTTAGACTCTTTTCACAGAGGGTATTTACTTTAACCTAAAGAGGTTAAAAGTTGTTCACTATTATTTATTCTCTATTAATATTGACCCATCCAAAGCCATCACTGTTTCTTTTACCTCTGAACCAACTGTTACAGCCCTTCTTTAGCCAACCTAATTCACTGAGGAATGATATGTTCCAGGCACTCTCTAGGCTCTTGACTTAGACCAGTAAATAAAACCACCACAACTCCTTGCCCTGGTGAGCTTATAATTCTTCTAAATAGAAGAAGAATAAGTAAATTATGGCTGACATAGAAGAATTTAATGATACAACATATGATCCAGAGATAATGGTGAGAAAGGAAGAAGTTCAAGTTGCTCTGAAGGAATTGGCAAAAACAAAACCCCAGAAGTTGATGGCATATCATTGGAATATTTCATCAAAGAGATGCTGCCCTGGATGTACTGACCTGTTTGTGCCAAGAAGTCTGGAAGACAACTACCAAATGACTGAAGAGATTCATATTAATTCCCATTCCAAAAAAGGTGACCCAAGAAAGTGTGAAAATTATTGAACAATATTATTAATATAACATGCAAACAAGATCCTGCTGAAGATTATCCAAAAATGCCTAGAACAGCACATTAAGTAAAGAACTGCTAGATGTACAAGCTTAGTTTATAAGAGGCCGTGGCACTAGGGACATTATAGCTAATGTCAGATGGATCTTAGCCAAAGCAGAGAGTATCAGAAGAATGTCTGTGTTTCACTGATTAGGAAAAGGCATTTAACTGTGGGAGTCATAACAAATTGTGGCTAACCTTGCAAAGGATGGGAATCCCAGAACACTTAATTGTGCTCATGTGAAATGTTTACTTGGACAAGGAAGCACTCATAAGAATAAAGCAAGGAAACACTTTATATGGTTCAGGATCAGGAAAGGAAGTGTGTCAGGGACGCATCCTATCTCCATATTTTTTCAGTCTATATGCAGAACAGATCATTTGGGAGATTGAACTTTAAGAGGAGGAATGTGGCATCAGAATTGGAGAAGACTCATCAACAAATTGTATTATGCAAATGACACAACCTAGGTTCCTGAAGCTGAGGAGGACAGACCTGAGGTGTTTGCTGCAGAAGATCAAGGACTGCAGTCCTTCAACATGGATTGAAGCTCAACATCAAGAAAACAAAGATTCTTACCACTGGGCCAATTGGCAGTATCATGATAGACTGAGAAGAGACTGAGATTGTTAACCATTTTACAATCAACACTCTTGAAATATCACTCAGGAAATCAAGACAAATTGCACTGGGAAATCTGCTGTCAAGGACCTCTTCAGTGTACTAAAAAAGAACCACCACAGACACTAAGGTGCAGCTGATCCAGGCCATAGTCTTCACAACTGATTATGCATCAGAAAGCTGGACAACGACTAAGGATGACAGAAGAAGAATCAATGCCTTTGAGTTGTGGTACTGGAGAAGAGTGTTGAACATACCATGGACTGCCAAGAGAACAAAAAGGTCTGTCTTGGACAGGGTGAAATCAAGCTGTTCCTTAAAGGCAAGGATTCTGAAGTACCATCTCACATATTTTGGGCAGGTTGCCAGGAGGGCAAAGTTCTTGGAGAAGGACATTATGCCTAGAAAGGTGGAGGGACAGTGCAGGAGAAGAAGACCCTAGATGAGATGGATTGACTCAGTGACTGGAGTAATGGGAGTAGGTGTATTGGAGACAAGGAGATTGGCTCAAGATAGGGCAGAGTTCAGAGTGACTGTAGGGTTTTTATGAGTTGCAGGTGATTCAATGGCACTTAACAACAAAAACAACATGGTGGAGGAAAATCATCCACAACAAGAGAGATCAAGAGTGCTGGGGTGAAAAGCTGCAGTAAAAAATAAACCTCACCGAGAAAGTGAAATATGGACAAAGACTTGAAGGAGGCTAAGGAGATATCCAGGGAAAGAAAGTTTCAGGAAGAGGAAATCCTAAGTGCAAAAGCCTGAGATAGAAATGTTCTTGGTCTATCTGAGAATGAGCAAAGAATAAGCCACTGTGGCTGGAGCAGAATGAATTATGGGAGAGAAGAAGAAGAGGTAACAGAGTGAGAGGAAGTAACAGAGTTCCCACAAGGTAACTACACTGAAATGCAAATAAGCCTGTGAACTCAGGAAAAAAACTGGCATTTTCTATTATCAGTCATAAGAGCTCAATATTTCTGTATTTTTTTTAAATGGTTATTATATAAAACAATTTAGAGAATGTAACAGAAAACATCTTTAGATCAGCATACTCCTCTCTTGTTGCATGATAATTGCAAGGTACAAATACTTTTTATAGGTCAAGTAAAAAGATCTAAAGCAGCTAAGTAACTGTATAAGTTCTAGAAATCACAATATGTACCATAAGGGGGGGAGGGTTGTTGTTGTTATGTGCTGTCGAGTCGCCTGTGACTCATAGCGACCCTATGTACAACAGCCCTAAACTCCGCTCTGTCCTGTGCCAATCGCAC